TAAGTAACCCAAAGCAGACTACGAGGCTGGGTGACGCGTTGCCTTAAATGTCTTACCATGTGAGGTGTTTAAACCAGGTATCTGTCACTGGTCCCTAACTTATTAGTGAGAATGAGAAAGCAGACGAGAGTATAATTTGAAGGGGCCTTAAGATGTGGAAGGGTTTATGCAGGGGAATTCAGGAATACCAAACCGCAGTGTGTCGTTAGACAAAATTGTATTCTGGATCTCTTGAGGTTAGACTGTTTCTAGCTGGCTTGAAGCCAAGGCACTGTGGCACCATATAACCTGTAAAGAGCTTGTGGTTCTTCTGCATGCGCACAGGTGATCTGGCACAGCTCTCTGACACAAGGGAACTCTCTTTTAGGGAACAGCTCTGTTTGTCCCAACCCACAGGCTGCCTCGTGCCTGGGTCCTTTCCACACAGATGACTGACCTGTAGCCTGTTGATGACCGTGATTTAGTCGGGCTTTCCTATTCCTGTATTTCCATGTATTTCTTTGGTTGCAGTGGCTCCCATAATTCTTTATGGCCTTAGTTATGTGAGCTGCAGTGCTGAGGGAATCTATAGACAGAACTAGGAGGGGACAAAAACAGCCCTTGTGTTATGGATGAGTGCCGTTTGTATTGGCATTTTTTTTTTAAGAACTTGTTACTGTAATTCTTCCCTTCATATTGTATTGATCTTCTGTCTGCTCGTCTTCCCATCATTCCTGTCTTCACCTCACGCCACCTGCCCTCTTATTTTCAGTGTTTTCTTTTAATTCTATTTTCAGCACTCACCCCAAAATGCATAAAAACCACATGCACACCAGTTCTTGCAGTGCCAACGTTTGCAAATCATTGCAGAGTTCATAATGTGCCCCTTCTGTCCAGTACTATTTGGCTGCACTGCATGTGTTTACTAGAATTGCTCTTGGTCAGCAAAGGAATGCCATCAAGTTGCATGGTGCCCAGCTGAAGGGAGGCTGGCTGGTTGAGCACCTGTAGTTTCAGTATACTGTGCAAGATGCCTATCAAGGAAGCTACAGGAGGAGCACATGCATGCAAGTAAAAATGTTAGCAAGAGCAAGTCCTGTTTGGGTGCCACCATCTTCATTTTATTCTTGCTTTTCTGTTTTGTCTTAGATCTTCGGAGGATGACAGCTGGCTTCATTGGCATGGCAGTCTCCATCATCCTGTTTGGGTGGATCATCGGTGTGCTGGGGTGCTGCAAACAGCAGGAGCTCATGCAGTACGTGGCTGGACTGCTCTTCCTAATGGGAGGTGAGAGCCTTTTGCTTGTCTTCTGGCACCTGGCAGGACCCTGCTGTATGTGCACATGAGCTTTCTGCTCTGGAAAGCTGGTGTGTGCCCACAGTCCTCTTGCCTGCTCTGCATACAGCTTGCTGCTTCTGTCAGACAACTCGGTTCATAGATTTCTCTAGGGAATCTTAAAAACAAAACAGGTACAGCACCTTTCTGCTGCTCAAAGATGCTCACTTCTTTTAGTAACAACATCTGTACTTTTGCTTGCCCAGGTGAAAAACACGGAGAGTTTGTTTCTTTACTTGAAAGGAGCACAGCAGCAAGAAATGCACCAAAAAGCTATTGAGATGTTGCAAGGATACAGATTCTTAAATTGCAAGTAATAAATAGGCAACTTCTCAGAAGCTGCTCATCTTTTTCTTAATTGAAAGGCAGAGCTGCTACTGAAGAGGTCAGGTGTCAGCATCTGTAACGGAGGCAAGTGAGGAACACAATGGCCTAAGATTGTTTCTGTCCATTAACCAAACAGTTGTGATAGTAGTTGCCACGTTGCAAATGGGGAATCTTCCCCTGCTGAATCTTCTCCAGAAGTGTTGTGGGGAGATACACAGGAAGCCAGCTTGCTGCTGTGGTGTGAAGCCAGTAAGGCTGAAGTTAGCCTTGTGCTGTCCTTGATCATTTCTACATGTTGCTTAGCTGCATGTTTTAATGCACAGCAGTGACGGAACAAAGTGGAATGGGTAGACTGGGAACCCTCTGAATGCTTCTGCACTTAAGCTTTGCTGTGATGGGCATGCTGTCAGCAATAAGATGTCATTAGTATTTAGACCCAGAGCCAGGGACAAAAAATCACCCTAGCCTTGGGTCTATTACTGTCTCAGTTTGACGGGATCATTTTTGTTAATGTGGATGCTTTGCAGAGTAGACGTCAGCCTGGATCAGCTGTACTTAGGCAAGGTCAGTATGAAAGTACTTTAAGCATAACTCCATAAAAGATGTGATTTTTTTTCCCGTTAATAAGATAATTAGACAAGGTTCTTAGTGACTAAAAAGCATTCTGAAGAACTTCAGCCCTGCCTCAGCTGTCCTGTCTCTAGAAGTTGCCTTTAACCTTCCTATGGTTTCACAGAGATAACACACTGCAGTTAGTTAATGCTGTAGCAAAACTTTGATGAAAAAGCACAAGGCAGTACCATTGAGTCTGTGACCCTCTCTGGTATTCTGAAACTTAGCAATGGAGAAGCGATTAATAAAAGCCCCTGGCACCACAGCTGGCAGCAGGTGGAAGTTCCCAGAGGAAAGCAAGCAGCGAGTGAGCATTGCAGAACTGGTTTTTAGCTGCTTATTTTCCACAGGAGACATTCATCATGGGACATAGAGCCTTTGGAGATCTGTTGCATAACAAACTACAAATGACTGAGATTTAGGCAGTAACAGAGGGAGCTAAGACAGTATTGATTATTTGGTGTGTGAGATATGCTCTAGTCAGATGTATTTGCCATTCTTTTTCATTTCTTTTTCCGCCTTTTAAAAGCGACAGGCTGGAAGGGAAAAGGTGTAACTTTTATTTTTGAAAATGTGCAGCTTTTGAAATACCTGGGCTGGAGGAGGGGAACTAGTGAAAAAAACCCCAAAACAATCAGAGTAATTAATCTGAGGGCACTGTAGAACCCTCTTGCTTTTCTCCTGCAGGTACCTGTTGCATCATCTCTCTCTGCACGTGCGTAGCTGGGATCAATTTTGAGTTGTCACGCTACCCTCGCTACGTCTACGGGCTGCCGGAGGACATCAGTCACGGCTATGGCTGGTCCATGTTCTGTGCCTGGGGAGGCCTGGGCCTCACCCTGCTGGCTGGGTTCCTCTGCACTTTGGCCCCGTCCCTCAACACTTCGCGGGCATCCGTACAAAAACCCAGACAAGAGAACGGGGCTGTGTGACCTCAGCGGGGGCGAGGAGAGACTCTGGAAAGCGCAGCCTGGGCAGAGCTGTGGGTTAACACCAGAAGAGGCGGCGTGTCGGTGTGAGGAGAGGTGCCATAGCTGTGGAAATACCGGCCTGGGGGCTGCTGCTACAGACTCCAGCCACGGATATTCAAAGTAACTCCAGGTTTGAATTATTGCCGATTTGCTCATTGACGGTTTAAGGGGGGACAGTTCTGTTTTGTTTTTCTTCTGTTTACAAGGGATTAAGTCCAAGGCTGTGTTTTCTTTTGTGTTGTTTTTTGAACTGTACCTCCATGGTCCTGTTACTGTCCAGTTGTAAGGGATGTTTACGCACCAACTCTATTGCTGCAGGTCTGTGTAACACAGACCCAAATTAGGAAGAGAAGCTATGTGAAGTTGGCTTGAACACTTTTGCAACAGACTGGTCCAGTGTTGGCTCAGGCCCTTATTTCCCAAAAGAACCGTGATCTAAAGCCGAGGTTTAGGCCAAAGAATTAGCCCATCATTAGTATTAATTCATCTAAAGCAGAAATCTGTGATATTCTATGCTGTAGTATCAGTTTTTACTCACCACTAAAGCTGTTTCCAAAAGGAGCCTGCTGTAACTGAGCAGCAAGACTGAAAAATCTCTTCCTGGCTTTAGGAAAAGGCAGGTAAGTTTTTCCTCAGCTTCTTGCACAGGTCAGGTTACTCATTTGGCTAACAAACAACACCTTGTTTCAATGAAGAGATGCATGTAACATGCAGCCTATAACTGTCCTAGTAGAGGCCAGGATAAAGTATGATAAAGTTAAAGCTGCTGGGATCAGCCTTCTTCACCCAAGTAACTTGTGGGTACAGTTCCCGTTCTGTAAAAGGAGATGAGTTATTCTCCCTGAGCTCAAACAGCAGTACTGCTAGTATCCCAGAATGTACAGCCCCCTCTAATATTCATGTCCAAAGGAACTGCAGTGTGTTTTCCTCAGGAACGTGTGGCTTCTGCTCACTTCACCACTCACCCCTTTACAATGCCAAACACCCCGAGCACAGCTCAGCAAGAACAAGTTCCCTCTCTAGAGTGAGCAGCAGGGATCTTGGAACCAGTGCAAGTACTATGGCTAACTCAGGAACACCCGCCAAAGTACTTTGGGTGCATTTTTCTTTCATTCATCTATTCTTTCTTCCCTCACATCCCCCGCCCCTCTCCCAAGTGTCCAAAAACTGCACAGGCAAGGATGAGATGGCCAGCATTTGGAGATGTTTACATTGTATTTCAAATACAATACAGTGGCATGTAAGATACTTAATGCTAAAGTCAGTGTATTTATGAAAAGTGTAATTTTTAAATGGAAGTTGTAATTCTCAACTGGCATTAAAACTACTGAAAGACTTGCTCAGTGGATGTAACTGTGAATTCTTTCTTACCGATTATCAGACTGATTCACCAGTGCACTCCCATGGTGTCAAAGCTTCCAACATTAAGTTTAAGCTTAAAAGAAAAAGTTAAAACATCACTCGTGTGAGTCCTGTTCACTCTCCATCGCAGAGCTAAGTGTTTGCTGAAAATTTTTTAAAGATTCTGACAAATGTGTACGGCCTGTTTGCTGACTGCACCTGCAAAACCAGGGGATGCTTTTGAGCATCCTTTGAGCTGCAGATCACAGACTTCAAAGTACACTTATTACAGTATTACCTTGTGGTCCTCCTGAAGTAGCAGAGCAGGATTTAATCCACAGGCAGCATGATGGGCTTTGAGGACAGGAGGTTCTTACCTTCCCTGCTGTAGACGTAGAACCACTGGACGAGAGCAGCAGCCCCAACACATTACCGTTTCAGAGCAAAAAAAGGCTTTATTTTTTCCAGACAGAAAGTAAGGGGTACAGTCCGGACTAGTCCTGTCCTCTGCCACGGCCGCTGCCTTGCCTGGGCAGAGATCAGGCATAGTACTGCAGGTTGGCTTTTTTCTTTGCTTGAACTTCTAAGATTCCTTCCATGTAATCCTCATGGGTGAGCTCTGTTGCTCCACGGCGGAGGGCAATCATCCCCTGCCCAACAAGACACATTTTAGCAAGGGCAAGTGAGTGCCATATCAGTTCATGATAATGAACTCCACGCTAGCTTTATCTCCCTCCTAGGTGGAGGTGGCTGCTGCTGGCTGCTCTAAAGGATTACTTTAAAGGATTACTTACCGCTTCAACGCATACAGCTTTGCACTGGGCACCATTGAAATCGTCTGTGCAACGAGCCAGTTCCTCATAGTTTACATCAGGGCTAATCAGAGTGGGGAGAGAAAGAAGTCTGAGAACGTGTGCCAAACATAAGCAGGGTACAGAGCTTCCTTAAACCCAACAGAGCTCACACCACTCCACAGCTCTGAAATACCATCGGCATTAGTGACAAACAGCCCCAGGTCACACCTATCGCATACCTGACATTCATTTTGCGTGAATGGATCTGCATAATTCTGGCTCTGGCCTCCTCGTTAGGCATTGGGAACTCAATCTTACGATCCAATCGTCCAGAGCGGAGCAAGGCAGGGTCCAAGATATCGACGCGGTTGGTTGCAGCAATCACCTAAATACAAGTACTGTGATCAGTCTGAGGCACCTGGAGGACAGGTCTCTCTCGTCCCCAGGGATCCACCAAGGTTCTTCCCTTTTACATCCCCTACTAAAATGCCCTGGCCCTCAGCAGCACTCTGCTAGATCCCAACCTTGACTTGTGTATTGGGCTGGAAACCATCAAGTTGATTAAGCAGCTCCAGCATGGTCCTCTGCACTTCCCGATCACCAGCCTTTTCACTATCAAACCTGAGGAGGAAATGAGGGTAAAACAAAATGATCAGCTGGACCCTGACCACCCACCCTTATGTTTTTAATCACACAAAAAAAACAGAATGACCGCATTTCACACTCCTTGGTTAAGCTCTTCCAAATTCCTCCTTGATACCTTGAACACTGCAACTAGAACAGTCAGCAGCATCCAAGTCTCGTTATGTCCTCAGAGCTGAATGGAGTTAACGTTGTCCAGGCCTAAGCAGTAAATGAGAGTGAACATCTCCTATGCCTGGTGCACTTACCAGTAAACAGCTTTGTGTTGCATCAGACAATTGGATGGATCTCCTGGCTCACACATTCCACTCAAGCACACGTACTTCGAGCCCAAGGATCGTGGGGAGTGCAGTATCTGTGATTTACCCTCTTTCTATGTAGGCCATGCATTAAGCTCGACGTCCCTCATGTACTCAGGCAGAGGGGACAGCTAGGCAGCTCCTAAGAGCTCTGCAACAGGGTCTGTATCTCACCTTTTAGTGCCAATGGCATCCAATTCATCAATAAAGATGATGGAAGGAGCTTTTTCCTTGGCTAGAGCAAAAGCATCTCGTACCAGCTTGGCTCCATCACCGATGAACATCTGCACAAGTTGCGGCCCTGCAAGTTTCAGGAACGTAGCCTGGAAAGTGAAAGACAATCCCCTGTCTACACTTTTTGTTGTTTTTTTTTTCAGTAGTGTCAGACCTGAACACTACAGAAAAGCCTTAATTAAAACAACCAAGTAAACAAAAAAATCCCAACCCTCATAACACCAGCTTATAGGTAAAATCCCCTTTCCCCTTGGACATGTTGTCTCTCTCATCTGCAGATACTATTCTACCACAGCATAAGTATTCAAAGGTTCCTTTTACCTTGGTCTGGGCAGCACATGCTCGAGCTAGAAGCGTCTTCCCTGTTCCTGGAGGCCCATACATAAGGACTCCTTTAGGAGGCTGTATACCCAAGTTTTCAAATTTCTCCTTATGATTCATGGGCAGGACGATGGCCTCCACAAGCTACAGCAAGAGAAAACTGTTAAGTCAAAACCAAACTTCACAAATCCAGGCTGCCCGTTTTAGGAAGTTCAAAGCCTGCTGTCCTCATTCACACTGGTATCACCTCTTGGATTTGTTTATCAAGCCCCCCGATGTCGCTGTACTGCTCTGTGGGTCTCTCATCCACTTCCATGGCTTTCACCCGTGAATCATATTCAGTTGGCAGAGTCTCCAAGATCAAGTAAGAGTCCTTGTTCACACCCTGCAAACACAAGTTCTTTGCTTTTAACAGGCCTTTCAGATAACAATCAAAGCACACACAATCAGAGGTGATCCACCAGGCCATTAGGATGAAGGTATGACCAGCTCTAACACTATCATTCACCAGATTGCAACAGCTTGGCAAGGTGGACAATGCAACAACTGATCTGGCACATTTTAGAAGGAAGGTGCCCAGTATACCACCAGGTAGATAGCTAAATTTGGGGCACTTAAATGTCTGCATAAATAGGCTCTCCAACACTACTTTTCTATACTACAAATACTATTGAAGCCATAGTTTCTTAAAAAAAAAAAAAAAAATCAAAATTTTAGTACAAAAATGATCTCAGAAGGATCTGAACAGACTGTATCCTTTCTAAAGGAAAATGCACATGCAGTTTTCTGGCCAACAGTCACAACATTACTCACCACTAGATCTCCAGGCTTCAACTTCTCAGCGTCAACCAACCCGATAACAGGCAGGAAATACGTCTACAGGACAGGAATTAAAGTGAGCAAAGCCAGCTGTACTAGGACAAGGACCTTTCCAGCACTCATGAAATCAAAGAATCTGTGAACCTGTGCTGGTTGTAACCAATGACTGCATTGTCTTTCAAGTATTTCTCAGTAATTCCCAGAATAATCTTTTCCATGATTTTACCAGGCAGTGACAGGCCTATAAATATCAAGCCCTTCTTTGTTGTCCTTCCTGAAAATGAGGACAATATTTGCCAGCTTCTAGCCAAATACGATCTCTGCAGATTCCCAGGATCACTGAAAAAATACTCATGAAGGTCTCATGATGACATCAGCCAGCTCTTGGAGTACCCTGGGATGAATCCCATTGGGCCCCATAGACTTATGTTCATTCAGCTGGAGCAGCAAATCCCAAACAAGTTCAGAGTTGGCTGGGAGCTGACTGTTCCCCTTAGTCATTGTCCCACACTCAGGGCTCTGGAGGCCCCATCATCAGTGTTAAAGACAGAGGCAAAGAAGGCATTAAACATCCCTGCTTTATTTACATCCCTATTTGCCAGGTGACCAACCAGCTTCTGGCTGCTCCTCACACCTAACTGGACACATGGCTCTTACCTGGCGTGTAGAGGTCTTGATGACAGCACACTTGCCCTTTCTCTGGGAATCCAGGTCAATATTTGCTCCATCCTCCTCCTGGTCGTTGGGGTCAACATCCAATAGCTGAAAACCAGAGTGAAAATCTTCCCTATAATGTAACCAGACTAGTAGCTTCCAAGTAACATGAAGTATAAAAAAATAAAAATTTCCATTTCCATCTTGAAAGCACTAAGTACCTTATAAAAATTTACCTTTTCCTTTCCTCATGCAGCAACACACAACAGCACAGAAAAAGACACTATGCAGCCCAGAACAAAGCAGAAGCTAATGGCACTGATTTCTTTCCTCCTTACAGCATCTTACATTAAGTTTTAAAACACTAATACCAACCAATCCTTGTTTTCCAAAACTGAAAATTGGCTACGATTTAAAAAAAATCAGATAAATAGATTGATTCACAAAAAGGACATCATGTAATACCTGGACTTTCTAAAGACATTTGCAAAGTTATCTCAACTGAACTCTTAAAACAACCAAAGCAGGTATAAGAAAATGCTGTGAACAGAATCACAGAGTCGTAAAGGTTGGAAAATACACTAAGATCACCAAGTCCAACCATCAGTTCATCCCTACCACATCCACTAACCACATGCTTTTGTTTTGGCGCGGGACTTGGCACAGAGAAGCATACTGCAGTGTGGCAGCGAATTTGCTTTGGCTGCTTGAGGGCTAGGCTAGCTCTGCCAGGGAGCAGCTGCCAGGTGCCATTGCTTTCCACATGGCAGCGACCCTCTGACACCCAGGGGGTGGAGCTAGGAGCAGGGGCAGCTCCTTAAAACCAGTGGAGGTGCAGCGACTCAGGGTCTCAGCACAGGGCAGACGAGCAGGGCACAGTATCTCAGCTCACTAGTAGGCACCTATTGGCTGCCTCCAGGTCAACATACTCCAACATGGTCTTCACTAGGCAGAGAATCAAGTGAGAAAGATGGTGGTGACTCAGACTGAGTCCCTGCCTAAGGATGTGGCAGTTCAAGTCTCTGGGTGCAGCGAGAGCCTGAGTCAGCTGCTACCACTGAAGGTGGGGGCAAAACTCCAGCTGTGCAAGGTGCAAGCAGGCAGACGACCTGCTCAGTACAGTGGTGGAACTCAAGGAGGAGGTTGAGAGGTTACAAACCATCCGAGTGTGAGCGGGAGACAGACTGGTGGAGTAACTCCCTGTAAGAGAGACACCAGAGTGATACCTACTGTGGGCAGTACTCGGTGTGGGTGGTAGTTACAGGGGGTGGTCCTGGGTGGTGCTTAACAGATCACAGGTTCACAGGGCGGTCACGTGTCACAGTATATAGGCAGGTGTTGCGCAGCAATAAATCTGCACTTGAGATACACCCTGTGCTGTGCATCTCTCGTGTCCCTGTGCCAGGTAGGGGTGCAGACGGGAGGGCATTAATGAGGTGCTGTTAGCTGGGCTGGAATTGCGTGGAGGTTAGCAACACCTACCAGGCGGTGGTGGATTGCCTGCCCAGCCACTGCTGAACAGGGAGAGGCAGTTTGAGAGAAGAGTGGAAGCAGGTAACAGCTCGGAGAGGTAGGAAACCCTCATCCTGACCATGCTCGGCTCCCCTGATACCTCTGCAAAATAGGTTTGAAGCTCTGGAACTTGAGGGTGAGGTGAGTGAGGGTGGGGTGGGTGAGGGAGTGGTGGGAGGTCCACCTGCAAGGTTGTGTCTGGTGAAACAGTTGACCCTGTGCCTCAAGACTGCCTCCATCTGGAAGGAAAGAAGGTTGGTTGTTGTAGGCGACTCCCTTCTGAGCGGGACAGAGGGCCCTATATGTCGGCCTGACTCACCCATAGGGAAGTGTGCTGCCTCCCTAGAGCATGGGGCAGGGATATCTCTAGAAAGCTTTCCTGGTCTTATTCGCCCATCTGATTACTATCCCTTATTGGTAGTTCAGGTTGGCAGCAATGATGCCGCTGAGAGAAGCCTGAGGACTATCAAAAATGACCTCAAGGCACTGGGGAGGGTACCTGATGAAGTGGCTGTGCAGGTGGTTTTCTATTCTATCCCTTCAGTGGCAGGGAAGGATACTGAGAGGATCAGAAAGACCCTCCTCATAAATAAATGGCTCAGAGGTTGGTCCAAATACAAGAATTTTGGGTTTTTTTTGACCATGGGGTAATTTACTCAGCACCTGCCATGACAGCTGCAGATGGAACGCACCTGTCTGCAAAGGGTAAAAGGATCCTAACCCAGGAACTGGCAGGAGTCATTGAAAGGTGCTTAAACTAGGTAAGAGAAGGTTGATAAAGCCTTCCATAAACAACTGGAAATAGTATCACAATTCCAGGCACTGGTGCTTACAGGGGACTTCAATTATCCAGATATTTGCTGGATAAGAAGCATGGGCAGGCACGCGCAGTCCAGACAGTTCCTGCAATGTGTTGAAGACAACTTTCTGATGCAGATAGTGGAGGAAACAATGGGGGGAGGGGTGTTGCTGGGCCTTATTCTCACTAATAAGGAAGGGCTTGTCAAGGAAGTCAAGGTCGGGGGCAACTTGTGTTGCAGTGACCATGAGATGGCGGAGTTCAAGATCTTGAGTGGAAGAAGCAAACTGAAAAGTAGGATTGCTACCCTGGACTTTAGGAGAGCCAACTTTGATCTCTTCCAGGATCTACTTGGAGCTATCCCGTGGGCTAGGGTGTTAAAAGGTAAGGGGGCCTGTGAGAGCTGGTCAGCATTTAAACAGCTCTTCTTCCAAGCTCAGAATCAGTGCGTCCCTGTGAGCAAGAAATCAAGAAAGGGTGGCAGGAGACCTGTGTGAATGAGCAAGGAGCTCATGCACAAACTCAAAGGGAAGAAGGTCCATGAAATGTGGAAAAAGGGTCTGATCACTTGGGAATAATATAGAAGTGTTGTCAGGGCCTGCAGGGACGTGATGAGGAAGGCTAAAGGCCCCCTGGAATTGAATCTGGCAAAGGTGATAAAGGATAATAAAGGAGGAATAATTGCATGCACTGGTACAGATTGGAGGACAACCTACTGGATAGGAGCTCTGCAGAAAGGGACCTGGGTGTCCTGGTGGACGACAGGTTGGCCAGGAGCCAGCAGTGTGCCCTCATAGCCAAAAAGGCCAATGGCATTCTGGGGTGCATTAAAAAGAGTGTGGCCAGCAGGTCGAGGGAGGTGATCCTCCCCCTCTACTCTGCCCTGGTAAGACCTCATCTGGAGTACTGTGTTCAGTTCTGGGCTCCCCAGTACAAAAAAGGGATCTCTTGGAAAGAGTCCAGTGGACGGCCACGAAGATGGTGAAGGGCCTGGAGCATCTCTCCTATGAGGAAAGGCTGAGTGAACTGGGTCTGTTCAGCCTTGAGAAAAGAAGACTGAGAGGGGACCTGATCCAGGTCTATAAATATCTAAGGTGTGGGGGGCAGAATGGTGAGGCCAGATTGTTTTCAGCAGTGTGTGGAGACAGGACAAGGGGAAACGGCTGGAAACTGCAGCATAGGAAGTTCCACAAAAATGTACCCAAGAACCTCTTTACTGTGAGGGTGACGGAGCACTGGAACAGGCTGCCCAGGGGGGTTGTGGAGTCTCCTTCTCTGGAGATGTTCAAGACCCACCTGGATGCCTACCTGTGCGACCTGCTGTAGGGAACCTGCTTTGGCAGGGGGGTTGGACTCGATCTCTGGTCCCTTCCAACCCCTACGATTCTGTGATCCACACATGTATAATCAATGAATATTAAGATGTTATAATTATGAAATAAACAAGAGAGTTAGGCAAAGCAGATTATAATAACAAAAAGAGAATAGATAGGACGCTTATCTGTATCCTGGGCTCGCTTATGAAACTCTGGATGTCTAGAAGAGATCCTTCCTCACTGGTAGTCAGCTCTTAAATGGGTCTGGGAGAGGTACAGCCAGGTTCCACTCCTTCCAGCAGCACAGGTGAATTGCCTTCACCTATGCTCCCATGGCTGAGTCATTGCTCACATCAGGTGATCAATCAGAGGTTCAGGCTGTGATTCAGCAGTTCCCACACAACACACTTCTTGAAAACCACCATGGACGGTGACTCTACCACCTCCCTGGGCAGCCCATTGAAGTGCTTAACCACTCTTCCTGATTAAAAATTTTTCCTAATATCCAACCTGAGCCCTGGCACAATTTGAGGCCATCACCTCTTACCTTAAAATACCAACACAGCTAAGGGACAGAAGTTGCAACATGGCTAGCAAGTCCCTGAGCTTGCAGGGACCGCTCCCTAAATGTGTATTAGTTATGAAGAAAGCACTTGAGAATTTGTTAATTAATTAATTCCAGTCCATTCTCTTCAAGAGTTACTTGTGTAACTCTTAAAAATCTTTTTGATTAAAGTCTCCTTATTACTGTTATTTTGACTGCAGAACTTGTCCTCTTGCAAAGCTGGCAGTAGCATACAGATGTACAAGGAGCAGACCCATTGCTTTTCAACCACTCTGCGTATTTCACATACTCAGGTCTATACTAAGTGAGGCTGTGTCACCTCCAATAGCTGTGTTAAGGACAGAAACCCTGCTAATACCTCCCCAAGAAATGACCCTGACATGAAGTGGGCAAGTGATAAGCACTTCCAGGTCACAAATAAAGCCATCAGAAAAATGTGGAAGTCTTGACTTCAGGATCATAAACCGTCTGACAACACACCATGTCTCCAATCACCAATGGGCTCCCTGTCCCTTCTGCCTCCTGACACAAATGGTGTACGTTTCTCTCCTTGCCCCAGAAAAACACTCACCTCAATAACATTTGAGACAAGGTACGGCAGAGTTTTGTTCACTTTGATCTTCTCACTGTTCTCTTTGATCTTATCTTTCATGGCCTGAAGCTCGTGGGTCACTCTCAGCACTTCGCTCTTCATGATCTGGAATTAGTTCACAGAACAAAGGGGGAGAAATCAGAACAGCGTGGCAACATATAATTTATATTATTCTGGGAGTAAAATGATTTTTAAAATGTAAGGCTGGGGAGACAATGGAAATAAAGAGTAATATAAAAATAGAAAAAGTCACCAAGTTAGCCTAAGTAATATCTACCACTAATTTCTTCCCAGTGTCACTGGATACATTTACCCTGATTGAGACATCAGCTCACAGGGTTGCAATGTGGCCTAGATAAAGCAAATGTTTGGTTTTTTTATATACGTACATACATATAGATCTACATATACACACACAAACATACATAGCATTGCAGAATCATTACAGTTGGCAAGACCACTAAGATCATCAAGTCCAACCGTCAGCCCATTCCCACCATGTCCACTAACCACATCCCTCAGTGCCACATCCACATTCTTGAAAGCCACTGTATGGGAACTGCTGAGTCACAGCCTGAACCTCTGATTAATCACCCGAGGTGAGCCTTGAGTCAGCCAGAGGAGCACAGGTGAAGGCAATTCACCTGTGCTGCCAGAAGGGGTGGAGCCAGGCTCCACCCCTCCTGGACCTATTTAAGAGCTGGCTACCAGAGGGGAAGGATCTCTTCTGGAGATCCCCTCTTTTGGTATCTTCTGGTGAGCTCAACCCAAGGGTAAGCTCTTCCACTTATTCTCTTTTTGTGATCGTTGTCTGCTTTGCCTTACTCTCTTGATTATATTGCAATTATAACATCTTGGTTATACACTTGGCGAGCCAGGCAGGCTGAACATACTGAAATTAACATCATGTCTTTTCTGTGGAATTTCTATAAATGGGTCAAGGGGGAGAACAATACTTCTCTAGAGAAAATGATTCCAGGGCAGATCCCAGGATTTGAGGGATCGCCCTATTATGAGTTAGCTGCCATCATTGAAAAATGGGGTCCCTTACGCGTTATGGGCAATCTCTCCCCATATCGCATGGCGGACTATTTTCAAGGACTTGGCAAGGATGTCCTCATTACCAAAGAAAGACAACTGGCTGCCTCCATGGTGGCATGGCCATTATTAACCGCTTTAAATCATGCGGACTTAAAAAATAATACTTTAGAAACTGAAAATCAGCTTTTGAAAGACCACATTGAAAAGCTGGAGCACGAACTTGGCGTTTTAACAAGGAAGAAGCCAATTTTACATCTTCCCGTAGGCCAAATTCGTAACATTTCAATAAATGATGACCAGACTCCTGAATCAACAGACTTCATTGATCAGGAGAACAAGAAATCCAAATCAGATCTTGAATGTCCAATTCTAACTGATCCACTGGAAGTCCGTCCTGTTGTAACCCAAAAAACAAAAAAAGTACAGGACAGACCGGCAGGGGTGCCGCCTGATCAATGGCCCCCTGCCCAGACTCATTTACATGTTACAGCTCGGCCATACACGGTAACAGAATTAATGGACTTAGTACAACGATTTTGGCAGAAGCCTAGAGAAAGTGTGCCGGCTTGGTTATTGAGACTGTGGGGATTCTGGGGCAGAAAGTGTTTTGGTGAATGGCCCAGAAATAGCTAAGTTGGCCACCATGACCGTCCATCCTGCTCTCAGACAGAGGTTATACGTAGGCAATCAATATCGTGATGAAAACCATTCCATACTAGAATGGTTAATGGCGGCCTGCCGTATGGTATGGCCGAATAAATCAGACATACCGTTACATACAGGTATGTGGTCCTCCATGGAGGACCTTCAAAACTATATCCGTGAACTGGGTGTAAGAGAGGCCATCTATGAAGATACATTTGATGGCCCTGATATGGTTAAATTTTCAGCAGGGATGAGAGATTTAATTCTACAGCAAGCTCCCTCCCATCTGTACGGCACCCTAGTTTCCATATTAAATCCCCTTGTAGCATCAGAAGCCGTAGTCCAGCAGGCTGCCCAGTTAGTTGCCGACTTGGGAGAAACAGAACGCCTGCGGAATAGGCGCAATATTCGGTTTTTGGAGGAAGCAGAGGTCCTGCCGGTAAATAAAACCAAAATGCTGGCTACTCGAGCTCCTCCATCGGGACCCATAAGGGTATCCCGAAAACAAATGTTTAATGATTTAATTCGGGCTGGGGTCCAATTTGCTAAGATCGACCGCCAGCCCAACCATGTCCTTCTCCAGCTCTGGAGGCAACTAAAGGACAATCAAAAATTCCAGAGCTACCCTAAGAAATCAAGGGTAAGAGCTATAGAGAGGGTTCCAACAACAACCTGGAACCTAGAAGATTTTATTATTCCAAACAGGAAAAAGAAGCCACCTCAGGTGTCTCGGGCCACAATGCCTGAGCCGTCAGAAGCAAAAGAACTGGCCCTAGCACAATTCATGCAGTGACAAGGGATGTTAGTCCCCGTAGGGCCTCCAGACGGGACCGGAGGCCCTATGTAGAATTAACGATTTATTGGTCCCGAAAAAAATATTCAGAGAGTTATGGCACTAGTAGACACAGGAGCAGAAACATCAATTATCTATGGAGATCCGGGAAAATTTGATGGCGACAGAGTGATGATTGGTGGTTTTGGGGGACAGACTATTCCTGTCACCCAAACATGGTTAAAATTGGGGGTTGGGCGTCTCCCACCCCGGGAGTACAAGGTGTCTATTGCCCCAGTCCAAGAATACATCCTGGGCATAGACATTCTATGGGGTCTGGCTCTCCAAACAACTGTGGGAGAGTTCAGACTTCGACAAAGATGTATCAGTATCCGGGCGGTGCAAGCAATATTAAGAGGCCATGCGAAACATGAGCCTGTTTGCCTGCCGAAACCGCGCCGGATTACTAATGTTAGACAGTATAGACTCCCGGGTGGGCAAGATGAACGGTGCAGGAATTAGAAAAAGTGGGCATTATAAGACCTGCACACAGCCCGTATAACTCCCCCATATGGCCAGTGCAAAAGTTGGATGGCACATGGAGGATGACAGTAGATTACAGAGAATTAAATAAGGTCACGCCGCCTATTCATGCGGCCGTACCCAATATTGCCTCCCTAATGGACACATTGAGTAGGGAGATAAAAACTTATCATTGTGCCCTAGGTCTAGCAAATGCATTCTTCAGTATCCCAATTGCTGAGGAATCGCAAGATCAGTTTGCGTTTACGTGGGGAGGCAGGCAATGGACCTTTCAGGTCCTGCCACAGGGGTACGTGCATTCACCAACGTATTGTCACAATCTAGTGGCGCGTGACCTGGCTGACTGGAGAAAACCTGATGATGTTAACCTATATCATTATATTGATGATCTCCTGTTGACATCCGACTCACTGGAGGCAGTAGGACAGGCAGCAGATTCATTAACTGCCTATTTACAACAAAAGGGATGGGCTATAAATCCCCAAAAGGTGCAAGGTCCAGGCCTGTCCGTAAAATTCCTGGGGGTGGTTTGGTCAGGAAAGACCAAAGTGCTACCCAGTGCTGTTATAGATAAGGTTCAGGCGTTCCCAGTCCCTACAACATCAAAGCAGCTGCAAGAGTTTCTAGGTATATTGGGTTATTGGCGTTCCTTTATACCTTACCTAGCGCAGCTGCTAAGGCCACTATACAGACTCACAAAAAAGGGGCAGCTATGGGACTGAGGGAAAACCAAACAGGATGCTTTCCAACAAGCAAAACTGGCAGTTAAACAAGCTCAGGCATTGGGTATATTTGATCCTACCCTCCCAGCCGAGTTGGACATTCATGTTACTCAAGACGGCTTCGGTTGGGGCCTGTGGCAACGCCAGAGTTCTGTTCGGACCCCCATTGGTTTCTGGTCTCAGGTTCGGCACAGAGCAGAAGAAAGATACAGTATGATTGAAAAACAGTTATTAGCTGCCTATTCGGCATTACAGGCTGTAGAGCCAATAACTCAAACAGCTGCAGTTATAGTCAAGACCACTCTGCCAATTCAGGGGTGGGTGAAAGATCTGACCCACCTTCCTAAGACAGGGGTGGCCCAAGCACAAACAGTGGCACGATGGGTCGCCTATCTCAGCCAAAGGAGCAGTCTGTCTTCATCCCCCTTGAAAGAAGAACTCCAGAAGATCCTAGGCCCAGTTACGTATCACAGTGATGCACCAAAAGAAATACTGGTTGCTCCACCAGAGAAGAGTCCCATTCAGGAGGGAAAATATCCTATCCCTGAAGATGCCTGGTACACAGATGGGTCCAGCAAGGGCAACCCGAGCAAGTGGAGAGCAATAGCATACCATCCTTCCACCGAGACAATCTGGTTCGATGAGGGGGATGGTCAGAGCAGCCAATGGGCAGAACTGCGGGCCGTGTGAATGGTTATAACCAAGGAACCCGGTGATGGTATCCTGAACATCTGCACAGATAGTTGGGCTGTGTACCGGGGGCTCACTCTTTGGATTGCACAGTGGGCCACCCAGGAACGGACTATCCACGCCCAACCAATCTGGGGCAAAGACATGTGGTTAGATATATGGAATACGGTCAAACACAGGACTGTACGTGTCTACCATGTTTCTGGTCATCAGCCCCTACAGTCACCGGGAAACGATGAAGCCGACACACTGGCCCGAGTTCGATGGATTGAGAATTCATCATCTGAGAACATCGCCCGCTGGGTACATCAGAAGCTACGGCATGCTGGACAAAAGACAATGTGGGCAGCTGCTAAAGCATGGGGACTGCCCATACAACTATCTGATATCGTCCAGGCATGCCAGGATTGCGACGCTTGCTCCAAAATGAGACCGAGATCGTTGCCCGAAACAACAGCCCATCTTGCTAGGGGACACAATCCTCTCCAGCGATGGTAGGTCGATTACATCCGGCCCCTTCCTCGTTCCGAAGGGGCAAGATATGCCCTGACCTGTGTCAACACTGCAAGTGGGCTACTGCAGGCCTATCCAGTACCGAAAGCAAACCAGGCATATACCATCAAGGCACTCACTAAACTGATGTCTGCCTACGGGACACCTCAACTCATCGAGAGCGACCAAGGGACTCATTT